CTGGAATTGGGTTATCAGGCTGTCTCTGTGCTGCCGTTTCATCGCCTTGCCGAGACTCTGGTGGGCTGCTGCGGGTGGCGTGAGCAGGGCCAAGTTTGGGATTAGACTAGGACAGACCAGGAAGGGCCTAGAGGTCAACCCAGACTAGAGGTCAACTTGGCTTTGGCGTTGGCTAAATAATGAGTCTTGCTCATTTCAGAGCCTTTTGGAAACCAGGGGTGGGGAGGAAAGTCCCCACCCATAACCCCAGGAGAGTACTCGGCGGGTCAGTGATTAGTGCCGGGATGAGGGGGCTCCGGAAGGCAGGGCGGGTGGTCCTGATCCTCACTCTGAAGGGAAGCCGCACCTTGACCTCAGGTTGATGGTCACGCCCAGAGGCATCAGGGAACAGCCTGGTGCTTGGAGGTGTTTTAGCTGGAGACTGATGGTTGACCTCATTAGTCTAAATCCTCCTAACATATTTTTCTTGAATCCATCGACATTTTAGGTGAGTATGGGGTGTGTGGTCATACCAGGTGCCAAGAGAGATGCCAGAGTGGGAAGATGAGGGAGGGGCAGGGGAGGTACTGCACCCCTGGCTACCGCGGTGAATGGGCCGTGAAGGCATTGGTCAGCCAGGCTGGCCTGGGGCCCTGGCTCTGGGTTCAGGCTTCTGACGGTGGTTGTTACCCTGGAGAATCCCCTGAGGCCACTCTGCAGAAGACAAAGACCCTCCAAAGACAGACATTATAGAGCCATTGGCATCTTCGTTTCCAGCCCGGAGCAGACGCAGACTCATACTTAGTCCCTTGAACCAAACTGACCCGCTTGGGTAAGACCTGGAGTTTGGAGCTCGGTCCAAGTGAAAACTCTATGAGCTGACTGTGCCCGAGTGTCCCATTCCAGGACAGACCGGAGGGGGGTCTCATGGGACCGATGGCACAGAGCTGAGTAGCCTGGCAGCTGCCAGGTATCTGAAAGGTCACCAGAATATCATTTTACTACTCAGCACCTGGCAAAATATTCTTGATTCTGGATAAAGGTCACTGGTATGAAGTACAGAAACGGCTTTGTCGTGATATGGAATGGCTTCGGTCATAGCAGACTCGTTGGTTTCCTTCTTCCGTCTGGTGCACCTCAGCATCTGTCTCCATTCAAAGGTAGCCTTGAACAGGGAGAGATGGGAAGGACACAGACAGGAGTTTCTTTTTACTTCACCTACAATCCCTTAGGCTGCAGCTGCAGCTCGTCGCCTCGTTTCGCACCCCGTGGAGGTGAAAACGCTGCCTGCCGCGGCCCTGCCCTGTGGTGCGCGCTCTGTGAGCGACCTCCCAACGTTCCCTGCACTAGACCACCTAACTCCTGTCGTGTCCACCTCGGTGTGTCTTCTTTTCTCTTTAGAGAGGCTGTTCACAGGGTATGAGCTTGGACGAATGTACCCGGTATTGTCTTTGTTAGATGAGAGTGCTGAACGCTATGAGAGAAGGTGGTGGCCTTCATTTGCCTGCAGAGAGGATGCTCTGTAGTGAGTTTCTAAGAACACGTAAACCTAAGTAAGGAACTGTTTGCCATAGTTCATCTTCAGATCCCAGAATGTGGGTCCTGTAGCAGGGAACCCAGAATGCAGCCCTCAGACCCTGGAACCAATGCCACGCTCCTTATGCCTTCACTCACTTTGAAGGCATGAAGTCATGGGACCTACGCAATGTGATCAACCCCAAGATAAGCTTCTAATCCGAGTTCATGCACACTGACCTGTGCCTGCCTGGATCGGTGGTTCCTTAGGTGGAGGCCGGTTGGAGGAATTCACTCAGAGCCCAGGCACGGGGACGGGGGTCCAGGCGAGGCTGGACGACAAAGGTGCCTTTTACCCAGCCATCCTCTCCTCGTCCAGTTCTTCCTGAGAGAGGTACGGACAACGTGCACTAGGAAACACCCAACTGACATCAACCCAAAACACCGCAGTCAGCAGGCACACAGGGGATGATGGTGTCTCCTTCCTAAGCCCCAGCTTGCATGTGTTGGGGGGAAGGTAGAAGACGGGGTGGGGGTGTATTGGCCTAAGGCCTTTAGAGAACCTTAAAGTCAGAACCGATCTTACAAGGAGATTGACCCTAAAGTCACCTTGAAGGTATGATTTCAACGTCCCCCAAAGGCGTTTGTGTTCAAAATTGACCTTCATTCGGTAAATCTGTAAAGCTGGAAGTGCCACTATTGGAAAGTCATTCCTCTGTGTAAGGTTTTGTCGTCACAATGCAGATCTCCCTGAGAGAGCACTTCAGGCGCTTACTCCACGTCCCCCTGAGAGGAGTGCAGCGAGGACCCCGGGCACAAGGGACCGGACCCTGTGCAGGGCGGGGGCACCCCCCGCCCAGAGGAAAATCGTGCAGGAGGGTGGGGGAGTCGGGGGGAGGAAATGGCTGCCATAATGGTGGAGGTTTTGCAGTTTGTTTTAGGATAGCCATGGCTTCCTGGATTAATTAATTTTCAGTGAGCATGGTCACCTGCCTTTCAGGAGCAGGGACAGAGTCTTCAGGTGCAGCTGCGTGGCTCTGGGCAGTGCCGCCACCCCCTCCACCCCAGATCTCTCCCCTCCCCGCACCGTGGAGGAAGTCGGCCACGCCTCCAGGGGGCGTGTGTCCCCTTCTGCCGTGTAAGGCTAAGCGCTCCCAGAAGTGGAGGGCAGGGTTTGGACCCTCAGTAAGACCCCTTTTCCTGTCCACTCTACTCGACCATTTCCACAGAGTAGTTTACACATCTGACTTTTTTTAACAATGTACACATGCTGGCGCGGGCTCACAGTGCGTTGAGATGTGGCTTGACGGTACTGGATCACTGGCAAGAGAACAAACAAACCCTTGCATGGACACATGCGGAGATCTGAGGGGGAAGCCGAGTGAACTGACAGTCATTAGGTTTTGGCAACCCGACCACATCTGCTTCTTGTCCTTCTTTTCATTGTCCCTCTCACTGCAGCTCCTGAGGGTCTTGGGTGTCTCTCTTTACGCTGGGCTGATGTGGCCATTTGAGTGGGTTCTCGTGCGGGTTAGAAATCACTGTTTGTTGTGTCCAAGGGTAGATGCAAAGCATTCAGGTAGATGCACACTGAGTGTATTTATCAGATGTTCTCTCCCGGTGTCAGAAATGACTGGGAATGGTTTTCAGGCCCGGGCCGTTGGGCACCGATTGAATCGCAAGCGCCCCGTGGGAAACATGAGGGTGGTGGGGGTTCATGGACCTCACTGGCAGCCTGTGCCCAGGGCCGCCCTTTCTGAGGGAGATGAGGAATGGGACCGCGAAGAAGAGCATCATTCACGCACCCATCCATTCATCTCCTTCCTGAGAACCGCCTGCTGTGAGATTCCCCTGCGGTTTCTGAGGCTTGGCTTTGGCGCCACTCCCCGTGGGCTGGTGTGGGACATCGGACGCCCAGGACGATCTCTGCCGTGTGGGGAATAGGGATTGTGACAGAAAAAGTGAGCAACAGGTGGCAGGGAGGGAGGGGAGATTTTTGTAGTGAAGCCTTGTGGGAAACAAAGGGAGCTGGGGAAGGGGAACCACAGCCCTCAGACAAGGAAAGCCGTGGTGTTTCTCACGGGGCTGGGGTCGGGGGGGGGAAGGAGAGCCACTGCAGAGCAGCCACCACTGCCCAGCGCACGTGCCAGGAACCCACGAGGGTGCTGTCCTCGCAGTCCCCTTAACCAAATGCCCACCGGCTATGGGCTTCCTTGCCTGTGACCTCTCCCACCACGGCCTGCGGGACCTCGGCTCGGACCCTGGGGAGGGAGCGCTTTGTGGGCTTCCTTCCACGCCCCAGCCTGACATCGCGCTTTTGTCTCCAAAATGGACTATCTATCCCTCATGCTTTGAAATCTTCGTTTTCATCCTTTTATTTTATTTTTTTCCCCAGTTCTTTGGGTTTCTCCAGCAGGGTCAGTGAAGTTCTCTCTGTTTTTAATTGTTTTATTCCAGAAGCAGTCGGGCAGTTTGGGGAAGAATCAGAGATGTATGTTAGGCTCAGTCGTACTTATTCTGTGAAGAATTCCCGTTTGGGACTGAGGCCACGTACTAACCAAACTGTGTGTTATCCTGAAATGCTCTCCCTTCCCTGTCTTCTGCCACAGTGTCCAAACTCATTTTTCTTACTGTTATCAAGTTTAAAGGGTTCTGGGTTTGTTTTTTTGTTTTTTTTTACTCTCTCCCACCCCCGAGAATGCCTTGTGTCGTTGAATAATGAGTTTCAGATCCCAGTTTGCCCCACATTTGACTTCTGTGTGAATATTTCGCATATGTTTATATCATGTTACATTGTAATATCAGTTACAAGTTATATTTCATTTTGGTTATTTTTGAAAATTAAGAATTCTTTTTAGAACCTCATAACTGGAGATAAAAGTGTAATTGTGCTTCTTAATAACTTGTTTTTCTTTTTCTGTGACACAATAGGAAAACATATAAATTAGCTACATGGAGATAAAACCAGAGGTTTGCCTGCCTTTTAAGGTGTGGATGATTCTGGTTTGTTGTCTTTGTGGAAGCGAATACTTTTGCTAGCTCATTTTGGATACAATGGATATTCTTCCTGATCATGAGGGTTGTATGTTATTCTTCCCAGAGGTAATCTCAAGATTGTCTAACAGTATCATGCAAAATACTAAGAACTTATTTAATATATGACTGCCTCCGGAGAATAGGTCAAATTACTAATTCGTTATTCTTGCACTAGCAAGGCAACATAATCAAGCCAGAGAAAGCCTAGAGTTTATTTTGATTTGTTTCACTTTGGGTTTAAATTGACCACCCACAGTTATGCAAAGGACACGAAAGCTTGTGGGTTTGGTGTGTTTGTTTTGCTGTCATACTGTAACGATGTCCACACACGACTGCGCTTAAAGCCCGCAGGATCAGACAGATTAGAAGCCGTTTGCTTGTTTGCTAACAATGTCAGAGAACACTGGAAAAAGAGTCCGTTTACCCCAATCTGCCATTCCCATAAGTTGATAGTCGCGCTATTTGCTTAGCTGACCACCCACTGAAGCCGAGGCATGTGAAGCTGCTGTCCACTAAAACGGGCCTGAAAGTCGCGTGGGACGCACCCAAAGATGCTACCAGTAGACCCGTGGAGTATTACAACATTGCCTACGGGAAGTCACTGAAAAGTCTTAAATACATCAAAGTGAATGCGGAGATTCAATCCTACCTTATTGAGGATGTGGGTAAGTGACACGTGGGTCTTGTTCGCAGTAGGAACTAACTGTGCCCTATGTTTTCCGTCCCATTCTTAGGGTGTGACTGTTTGTGAGACACAGTGTGTCCAGGCTCCCATGGTTGCTTGGGAACGGGAAGCCACCACGGTCACGAATCTTTGGCTTCCTGGCCTTCGCCCTGCCAGTGGGCTGTCCCCGTCCCACACTTGAACTCCACTGTTCCTGGATCTCTCTCCAAACTGATGTCAGAAACCACTTTTAGTTTCTGAATGTGCTTTTTGGTCTCGTGGAAACTTGACTACTGGGCAACTCTGTAGTCCAATCTGGAGATTTCTCGTTGGCGAACCACTTTACCATTAGGGATTACTCAAGCAGCGTGTCCCTGTAAAGGTGCGAGTGTGCGGATGCTCAGCCATGTCCCATCCAAAAACGAAACATTTCTCCCCATGCGGTTTCACTCTGGAAGTCTGGAGTATTTTAAATTTTGCCCAGGTATATTGTCTTATAAGAGCAGGTATAGAAGGTTTTGAGCCGACTTAGGCTTTGGATCAGCTCCCGGGGTGCCCTGTCTTCGCCACTTAGATCCCGGAAACTGCTTACTCTCCACTCACCTCCTGGTCCCGCCTCACGGGGCTCATTGGAAGTAACAGCATCAGCGGGCGCGGCCTCAGGCCTCCTGGCCCCGGCAAACGCCCCGCCGCCTTCCTGCGGTGGGTCCGCATCCTCAGCGCCGCTCAGCTTCCTGGCCACAATCCCCCCCAGCTTCCTTCCCCGTCTCTGAGCTAACACACCAGGTGTCCTGGGCGTCAGGGCAGAAGGTGCAGACCAGGGACAGAGGGGACAGGTTCCCTTCCTCCTGGATCCAGCTAAACCCACATTTCTCTGAATCTCCTTCACATCCCTGTGGCCCCACAGGGTTCAGCTGCAGGGTTAAAGGGCAGTGCTGTTGGACCAAAGACCTAGGAAGGGTCCCATTCCCTTGCTCAACGCTCAGGCTGTTAGGGGAGCTGCAGAGAAGAAAAACATGCAAAAAGAGGGACTGAGAACTCACTAAAAAGCCGTGTCTCCCAGGCAACTCTGATGAGTTGACGGGAATCAGAGACATGTGGATTAAATTTCTCTGAAACACAAATAAGCCCAGAAGGATGAGAGAAAGTACCTGGCAAAGCATAGTTTTGCCTTCCGTCCAAACCTGAAGCATTTCCCAGTTGGGCCGGCAGGTCGTGCCAAACCCTCAATGCCACCAGGCCCTGCCGTAGACAGACAGAAGCCACACCCGTGCTGAGCACAGCAGGTGTTGCGGACGGGACTGGCCTTGTCCCCGGGTGCCTGGGCCTCTGGCTGGAGAACTGGTGTTGGGGCAGGAGCTCTTCGCTGTGCGGGATGTGCGCACCAGCATTGCCTCCGGCAGAACTACCTCCAGGCCCTCCGAGCATCTCCCCTCAACGCCTGCCCGCTCTCCTCTCTTCAAGGGACTGGCGCCTTCACTCACCTTTCTTACGACAATAATTCATTTTGAGGGAAACCAGCACCGCTGGAGCTTTGCTTTTCAAAGCGGCAAGTTCAGGGTGCGCTCCTGCCCTAGCCTGGTGCCTTGGTTTCCTTTCGTGTCCCAGCAGCTTTGGGAGCTCAGCCAAAGAGGCCACTGCTGTTTGACCTTGACCCCGAGATTCAAGTTCGAAAGGGAAGCCCAGTTACATTGCAAGATTAGTGTTTTCCAAGATTTCAGGGAATACTTTTCTAGGTATTTGTTGAATAGTCAAAGACAACACGCACACATAGTAAAGGGAGCATTTTATTGTGAGAAGGACATTTCACGAAGTGTTACATTTTCTAATGGTTTTTGAAGATTTCCATTTGGGCCTTTCCTGGGGAAATATTATCTGTAGTCAGGGACACTGCAGGTTAAAACATTTATTTAGTGGACAGGGCGTTCCTATTTCCTACACTGGTTTCACATGAAAAAGCTTAAAAGCTTTTTTGTTGACTGCTGATGAATCCATGTACTTTGTTCCAAGTAAATTTTGTGTCCTTTGGTCAGATGTATTTCAGTTGCAGGAGAGGAATGTTAGCATTTTGATTAAAAAAAGAGAGAGAGAAAGCTATAGTTAGATTTGTCATTTAATTCAAATTGTTATGTTTGGTTGTAACTGGTGCAAGGAAGACACAAATCAAACTGTCGTTCTTGGACATGTGACATGGTGGCTTGATGTGAACCGTATGTTTCAGAGCCGGGGGTAGTGTACTTTGTGCTGGTTACCGCAGAAAACCCCAGCGGAGTGAGCCGCCCCGTTTACAGAGCTGAGAGCCTGCCCGGTAAGTCTCACCTAGAATCGGAGGCTGTGCTTTTGTCCCTTAGATCGTGAGAAACATCCTCCTCGCTTTCTCTGGTCCCTACAAGTTTAGAATCAGTAAGGAGTTTCTGAACAAAAATGTTCAGACTTGTAGAGGAAGCTAAGAGACTGAAAACTAGGAGAGATTTAGCTCTGCTTTTAAAGTCATTGACTATAGGGTGTTAGCGTTCTGTCTTTAATTCTGGAGTGCTCGCTAGAGTAAGCCATGTGCAAGAGACTAAAAAGATGTGTTGTCCATCCAGCTTAGTGCTGAGTCACTACCGTGGCCTGAGCTGATCCCTTTGCAGCTTGTTGAAAAGACCACTTAGTGATATGTTAGGGATGCTCTGAAATGTGGAAAATCCTCTGGTCCTCATTTCTAACTACCAGGTTGCATTTTCCTAATTTAGGAGGTGAATGGATCAAGATTGATGGTTTTCCCATTAAGGGTCCAGGACCATTTAATGAAACCGTCACAGGTACTATTTGCTCACTCGGTTCATGTCCTCATTAAAGCACCATCTCGCAAGAGAGCTGTGCTTCTGTTACACCCATATGCTCACCAACCTTCATTCAGTTCCCATCGCTAAACTAACACACATGCCATCCAGTGTCGGTCAATCTGCTATGCACCTGGTGGACTGGACTGCAGCCAGTGTTGCTCACTCCTCACTGTTCTCTCGCGTTCTGGGGCCGGGAAGTGTCTCGTCTACATCTGGGGATTGTGTTGTGCTGTGAACAGGCAAATATGGCGGCTGAGATGGAGTCCTGGCCCGATGCGGACATTGGCGGCTCTTTCACCTGTGGATGGCATAAACAAGTGGGGCCCGCCAAACGGGGGCTTTTATTGGCTAATATGCTGCATCAAGTCTTTCTTTCCTTAAAACCACGGGGTATTTGGTGATATGTTAGATAATCTGCCTTCCATCTCTGCTCCATATTTGTATATATGTGTGTTTTATCATTTGGATGTTGATGTTGTCTGATCATGTTGTTTTACTTGTTGAGAGAAATGTTGACATTTCTGTGTGTTCCTTGAATGTACTTAATTAATGATGAAAAAATAATGCAAAATGAATGCAGTTATTTTAGACTGTGCTGGCTGCTATTCCAAGACAATGGGAGAAGAGCTGTGTTTTATTTTCATGAACCATGCTTTTAAATACATCAATCTTGTGTTATTGTTGAGAGGAAGGTGAGTATGTTGAAACCAATGACTCTAATCTGCTCAGATCAGATTTGATGGGTGTAGGCAGCATTCAGAGTCCTTTTATATGAAAAAGGATGGAAGAACAAAACCATTAGAAAAGGAAACTGGCTTTGGAGGACATGTGGTGTGTTCTCGTTCAGTTATGTTGGACGTAGGTGACCACGGGGTGTGGTGATGGACGTGTCTGTTGGCGATTGGAGATAAGAGAAGGAAAGGTGGAAGGGCGAAGCCCTGGCAGACGTGGATTTAGCAGCCATGCTGCCAAGTGAGAGCTGAAGTAGAGAGAGCGCATGAGAGGGTGAGAACTACGAGGGACTCGCAGAAGGCTAGGAGCAAACCTTGGGAGACGGCAAGAGTTGAGGAGGTAGCACACCCAGGTAGTGTGCGACATCGGACGAGAGGTTTGCTTCAGGGGTTGTCTATTCCTCAGGACACACACGTAGACATTCACAAAGACGTATAAACCTTTTACTGACAGAGGTACTGGCCCTTGCATTTGAATCTTATATTTTGTACTTTAAAGGACTATTTCATTTTGATAATCATCCTGATAATTTTTTTGAATGACAGATAGTTTTAGAATAAGTAATTTTCCTGCTTTTCCTTAAGTAATTAATCCTGTATGCCTTCTTTAATTGAAAGGGGTGTGTGTGTGTGCGTGCGCGCGCGCGCGCGCACATGTGTGCATGAGACCTTTCTGAGTAAGCACGTGTTAAAAAAACCCTGGGAGTCGGGATCAGAAACAATCATGTTCCAGCTCGGTGTTGGTTATATGTACCATGAAAGCATCTAATCTCTCTCTGCGGGGGCCTTTGTAGGCCTTGGTTGCCAAAGAGCAGTCAGCTGTAATACATGACACCACATTTGTCATACATTATGATAAAAAAAGATACTGGGAGAAATTGCTAGCTGAGACCGTTTGCAGCATATGATATAAAGCAGATTTTTTTTTTTAAAGAAAAAAGACTACATAGAGTTGGTTACAGTGCTCCAGCAAAACAACAACAACAACAACAAACAAACCACATTTAATCGTTAATTAAATAATGAGAACAATGTATGAGAAATGATCAATTAGTGACCGACATGCATCTGTATACTTTTATGTTGCTAGGACAATATGCTTTGCTATTGTTGTGAGAAATGGTTACTCTATGATTATCCTGCCAAACAAGGAAAGGATTCTTCATCCCACGTATCTTCATTCACAGGGGTGAGGGGTGGGGGGCGGGAGGTTTGCCCTGAAATGGAGACTTTGCTGTCAGTACCTGGTGTGAGCCCTCAGGCTTTAGTGCTTTAGTTTGCTTTAGTGCTTTGACTTTTAACGCTTTACTGTCTTCCAAGGTTTTATTTGAAACTGGAGGAAATCCGTTCTGGAACAGCGGTTTCAGTTCCTACTCTGGAAGGCCCCCTTTTGGGGGTGGGACTCTCTCCACCTCATTGTCTTCCCTTACAGGTAGCAGCCTTCCAAGCACGGCCTCGGTGCTGGAGAGTCACCGGGAACAAGGCGCAGGGGGGCTGGCCTTACTGAGACTGTGTTCTTGTGTGAAAGAGAGGCAGTGAGCGTGGAAGCCAGAGGCCGCGCACGCCGTCTGTCCTAGCTTGCGAGGGCTGTCACAGCAAAATACCGCGGCCTGGGCAACTTCATTCATAGAAACACATGTTCACACAGTTTGGAAAGTCCAAGATCAAGGTGTCAGTAGGTTTGATTTCTCCTGGGGTCTCTTTCTGGGCCTTGCCGATGCCTCCTTTCCTTCTGTGTCCTCACATGGCCTGTCTTCCTGAGCACGCATCCTTTTGTGTCTCTGTGTCCAAATTTCCTCTTCTCATAAGAACATCTGTCAGATTGGATCGGGGCCCACCCTAATGGCCTCATTTAACTTAAGCACCTCTTAAAACGCCCAGCCTCCAAAGAGTCGCATGCTGAACAGACAGGGTTAGGACTTCGACATATGAATCTGGGCGGGGGGTGCGGGGGAGTTCAGCTCATAACGCAGTCATGAATTCTTCGGAAAGCACGCAGCTCTGCGATGTACAACCGGCAGTGGGGAGTCCAGAGACCTGGTAATGTGGCAGCTCCAGGCCCCTGGGGACCGGGCGGTGAAGCAAAGCCATGTGAGGAGAAGGAAGAGCAGGCTGCGCGTCCCGGAGGCTGGAGGACTTGAGTGGGTCTCAGACGGGTCACTTGTCCAAGAATGAAAACTCTTAGGACTCAGATAGGACTCAGTGAACATGCAACTCCACAGGGGACCTTTGGCTTCCTCTTGGGGAGCTCATCTCCTCTTTTCGTTGGAAAGTTTCCTTTGTATGTAAATGTAAATGTAAAATCTCTCCTGCTAAGAAGTAAATCCATATCCCTCTGTTCTGTCCCTATGGCAGAGATGTCCCAGGTCCTTTCACAGACCGGAATCCTATTATTTCCCTTTCCAGCAGACTTCTTTCCTCAAGTTGTTGTAGCGCTTTCTGTCCCGGGTCTGGGCTTCTCCGTCGTGCACAAAGACAGGTGTTGGGATCAGGGTGAGAGGCAGAGGCCCGACTCCGCAGTACCTCTGCTTTCGCCAAGCTCTTTTTCTGGGAGATCTGGCCTCGGTGGGCCCCTGAGCCATGGAAGCCACGCTGCTCAGGGCGGCGTCCGCGCACACCGGGGCCAGGCCATGGGGCAGCTGCGTGCCAAACGATGGCTCCAAGACTGTCCTCTTTTCACGTGGTAGTTTAACTAAGGTCTTTGGCCAATGGGGAATTAATGTCTGTGGCATTATTTCCTCATGCAATTTTAAGTTTTATTTAGTGTATGATTTTCAGGGCAAAACTCTGTTTCTGGTCATGGCCTGATTCGTGAGCCCCTCAAGGGCACGTCACTTAGATTTACTCATCTCTGTCTCCTCAGAGCCTGGGACAAGCACGTGCCACGTGCTCAATACACGTTTAGGGCAAACGCATTTGGAGGCGGAACTGTGTGCTGGCCGGAGCCGGGTGCTGGGCGATGCAGAGCTGTCTGTTGGAAGGTCGGGGTCACCTGCCTAGTTCACTGGCTGATTCTGGAGATGGTCCCGGGCAGGCCAGCTTGTTGGCCACAGAGGGGCGCTGCCGCAAATCAGAGACCCTAACTGTCGCCCCCAGTTACACGGAGGGTCCTGGCTAAGGAATGGCCTGGAGCGCCTTTGCAGTTTGGAATTCCTCGAGGCTGACCGGGCTCAGAGGATGAGGTGTGTCCAGTCAGGTCTGTCTGCTGTAAGGGAGACGCCCTCCCTCCCTGGTAACAGGCACCTTCTTCCCAGGGCTCTGAGCTTTCTGAGAGCCCGATGCAAAGCCGCCCCTCACATCGGAACACAGTTAGAGTGCCCCAGCTTAGAGGCCACTCTTTAATCATGAAGAACAGTGGTTTCCGTGTGGAGCTTCACTGAGCAACGTGTTCTTGGGGAGGAGCAGAGAACTCAGGAGTTGCGGCCTAGACAGAGACTTGCGGCAGGGACGCAGGAAACACCAGCTGCCTCCTAAGGCAACAGTCACGAGCAGCCTTCCCGGGCACCAGCATCTAAGCCAACATCCCCGGGGGTCCCTCTGCATTGGGGAACGTAAATGTTGGCTCATTCATTTTCCTGTCAGTGAATTCTAGGAAGCAAGCGGGGGCTGGGCCAGGGGATGGCTCGCCCCTCCCCAGCTGAGGCTGCCGAGGGGACACTGGTCTTCCAGGAGCATGGATCTAAGTCGCTGCCACGGCGGGGGTGGGGGGCACCCAGAGCCCATCGCTCTCCTACAGGGGGCGGGAGGCCATCGGCTCAGCGTAGGGAGAGACGCCCCAGGGGAGGCTCCTGCCCTGCAAACACGGTGGCGGGGACGTGTCCGTGCGAGCAGCTGCAGAGCCCCTTCACTCCTGCAGTGGCCACGGCGCCATCGCCGATCCGTGCCGAGTCCTCCAGAGTCGCTAACGTAGCAGCGCCAGCCCCGGTCTGCAGGTGCTGCGGCCTTTCGCAGCCACACACCGCCCGAATCCTGTGGGCGCGATCAAGGACATGAAGTAGTTGTCACTGATTGTCACAACACCGCTGGGGTCAGCGGCAGCTGCTGCTGACACTTCGGAGGACATCCTGGAGCAAACCAGCCGTCCTCAGGGGCTTCTCAAACGGGGTTCGTGGAGCTCGGTGGGGCAGGCGTCTGCGGGGACATGGGCGCCCCGGCCACACCCAATGGGGGGGTGTTTTCCGGATGGCCAGTCACTTGCAATACGGTTTTTTATTTGAAAATAGTATGGAGCTGTCCGCAAAAGTC